AGGTCGAAACTGGAAAAACAGAGAAACGAATCTGCCCAAAAACGACCGGTCGTTACTGTTCAGAGACCGGTCGCACATGAATCTGCCCAAAAACGACCGGTCGTCACTGTTCATTTTCACTGTTCACCGGTACTGTTCACAGGTGATAAATGGTTGATAAAAGGGTGATAGAAAGTGCTGTTTCTGTTTTTCTTTGGTTTCTTTTGTTGTTTCATTTCTTTTACATTTCTTTACTCATTTTTAGTTTCCAATTTGCATTTGTGCATTTGTGGTGTGTTAAATTAGTGTTCTTTACGTACTCAAACTAGAACTTATAGGAAGCCGACAAGTTCTTCGTGGGATCGACCCCGTACTTACATAATCTATACTTCGATAGATTCATGCACTTGCGGGTATTTTTAATTGGTTGTTTGCACATTAATTTGTGTCCTTTTAGGAATGCAACACAGGCTGCCACTATTCAAGTGAATAGTGTCAAACCTTGGCGAGGTGCTCCAACGAGTTTGAACTTAACACTTTTTCGTGCTAAAACGTGAAGCCCATTCTCAGTTTCAGGCTTTGCTCCTTTTGAGGTGGATTTTGGTGTTTTGTTTCTTTGTCCATGGATGTATGTTATGCTTATGGACAAAGAAACTAGGGTAAACTGCCGAAATGCCCCTTGAACTTGTACCTAATTATCAATTTACCCCCTGACCTTTTTTTTTTAGCGAATTAAGGGCTCGAATTAAATTTTATTATCAATGTTCCCCCTGCCGTCTAAATCATCAAAATTTCATCCAATAATCCATCAAATCATTAAAAAAATAAAGAAATATATATATTTTTTGAAAAAATTAAAGAAAAAAAAGAAAAAGAAAAATCTTATGGACCCACCCCCCCCCCCCCCTGCGTCTTCTTCTCCAACCTATCCCCCCTTACTCTCTCTCTCTCTCTCTCTCTTTTTGCAGGCTTGAGTGGGGATGGAGGTGGTTGTTTGGTGGCGTTGGGTGGTGGTCTAGGGATGGATCTCGCGTGTCTCTCTCTCTTTTTGCAGGCTCGAGTGGGGATGGAGGTTGTTGTATGGTGGCGTTGGGTGGTGGTCTAGGGATGGATCTCGCGTGTCTCTCTCTCTTTTTGCAGGCTCGAGTGGGGATGGAGGTTGTTGTATGGTGGCGTTGGGTGGTGGTCTAGGGATGGATCTCGCGTGTCTCTCTCTCTTTTTGCAGGCTCGAGTGGGGATGGAGGTTGTTGTATGGTGGCGTTGGGTGGTGGTCTAGGGATGGATCTCGCGTGGGGATGGGGCTGGGGGATGGGTCTCGGTTGGGGGGGCAAGGCTGGGGAATGGGATGGGTCTGGATCTTGGGGGCAAGGGATGGGGATGGGAGAGAGAGTGTTTCAATTTTCTGTGAGGAGAAAAGAAATAAAAGGCATGGTGGCCTAATGTCCAGTGGCTACATGTCCAACCGCATGGCAAAAGGTTTGGTCAGCTCCAGATCAATTTCAAGAGCCACCATTCTCTACTCTTACTTGTTGGTCAAATCAATTTCAAGAGCCACCATTGTCTACTCTTACTATTACTAGCACAAGCTTTCAAAAACATACATATCAGGTGAGGTTAAATGGGGTTAAATGCTGGGCCAAGAGCTGGGGGTTTTAGGGTTGATGGGTTGATGTGCTGGAGGAGATAGAGCTGGGGGAGGGGGCAATAGGGTTGCTGGTTCTTTCTTTTTTTTTCCCTTTTTGGGTCAATTTTCTTCTTTTTCTTTAATCTTCTTCTAAAAAAATAATTTTTAAAAATGATTTAATTGAAAATTGGATGAATCGTAGGGAGAGAGGGAAGAAAGCGTTTGGTTGCAGAGAGAGAGGGGGAAGAAAGGGTTTGGTTTGCAGAGAGAGAGAGGGAGTCGTAGGGAGAGAGGGAAGAAAGAGTTTGGTTGCAGAGAGAGAGAAGAAAGGGTGGGAGTTTATTAAAATGAATTTTTTTTTCATTTTATATGTCATACTATTGTATTTTATAGTATTTAATTATTTTTAACATATGAAATGACCAATTTGCCCTCATATTTAACAGCAAATTGGATGAAATGTTGATGATTTAGACGGCAGGGGGAACATTGATAATAAAATTTAATTCGAGCCCTTAATTCGCTAAAAAAAAAGGTCAGGGGGTAAATTGATAGTTATGTACAAGTTTAGGGGGCAATTCGGCAGTTTACCCAAGAAACTAAAGTTAACACCAAAACGAAAGCTTTTATTTTTGGGTAGCTGTTTCGGCTTATTCTACCACTAGCCTCTCCGCATGCGCTTCCGCGCTTACGAGAGGCTTTTTTTAAAAAAATTAACATTTATTTTAGAATTAAAAAAGATAATGGGTAGTTGTGTTCCATAAAAGTAGGCTATTATCTGATTTTTCTTTTCATTTTAATTTTTTTTAAATATGAAAAGGTGTGAATTGACCATATTATCCTCATTTAATTAATAATTTCAATTCTTAATGTTTGCATTAACCAAGGGCATTTTCTGATATTTTGAATGTTTCACCATTCTCTGCCTTTTGCTTTATATATATAGATTCAACGTTCTGTGTGTGTTCTGAACTGTTCCTTGAGAATGATGGGATCGTGTTGGAGTTCTCAGAGGGAAGTCGAAGGTTTTTGTTTGTGTAAGTGATTGTTTTGCATTATTTTGTTCTCTGATGAGTTAATTCATTTATCATGAAGTTTGAAACTCGGAATGATGTTGGTGTAATTAGTTGAGATTATGTTGGTTTTGCTATCTGAGATCAATGTGCTTAATGGGTTTTGAGATATTTGTTTCAAAGTTTTGGTTTTGACAGTGATGCTGCTTTGAGTTTAGTCTGGGTTCGAAAACAAATTCAGGGGTTGATTATTTTGTTATGAATTTGCTGCCTCATGCTATTTGCACATGTATCTTCTGGGGTGTTGCTTGCTTTATAGAAATATGTGCTCTTCTAGATGGGGGTACGTAGTGCTATACTTTTTGTTTTGCATCAAATACTCATGAAACTTGGTTAATTGGTACTTCTCGGTTGCTTTCGTAGAAATTTCATCCTCTTCTTCTCTGTGATTTGTGGTTGACTAGTCTAGGATTGATTGTTGTCAGTGCAGAGTTTCAATGTGTATTACTATTTGCTAAGAATCAGTACTTTGCCGGTATGTTTTAGATGAGCCTGTAATAGTAGTAGCTAAAAGGCATTCGGATTGCTTCATTTTCGATAGACTGAAACTAGGTGTGACTGAACCATTGAAAGGAAAGGTATCAGAAAAATGTAGAATTGTCTTTGATTTTTTCTTGGTGCTTGATTGATGAAGAACTAACACTTTTCATAGTAAGATGGAAGAAAAAGTGTTCCTTCATGGGTTTTTCTTTTTTAGTATGCATTCTCATGTCTTCTTGTTTCCTTTTTGTTTGGCTATCGTACGGTGTCAGAACATCGTGAGGATGACACTGAATATTTCAAATTGGCTTATATCATTCTACAATTTTCAATTTTTTTTGTTTTTGTTGAATTTCATGCGTAATTCATCGTTCATTGAACGGGGGGGAGAGGAAAAACTAAGTTTTTTGTTGTCTCAGACAGCAACTTAATTGTACCTTTTCTTTTTTTTCTTTTTTCTGCAGATGGGTTCCATTGAAGAACATCACCATGGTGATTTCAATGAGGTTAATCTGGTAAGCATTCATTTCCTTCAGAAGCTTCTGATATATGATGTCTTTGGTGAACCTGAGACACTTCCTAGAGTTGAAGATGAGTGCCAGGTTGAAATTCCACCTCTATCAGCTATATCTTACTTTATAAACAACCTAACTAATGCAAAAAATCACTGGTGATGGCCCCTATAATTTTCTAATGGGGTTGCCTTACCAGTAATGTGGATCAATCAGGAAGTTGAGAGCAAAGAGCGTGAGTCAGAGGCTTTTGATGTTGTAGTTAATGCATCCAATAAAGAGTCTAAAAAATCTGAACATGTCAGGAAAAACTCGGGTTGTCTAGAAAGTGACAACTTAAAACCCAATTCTGAACCAAGAATAGTAAGTCAGATCATGGGACAATATCAGATGACTCGGCGAAGTTAGCTTGGAAACAAGAAAAGATGACTGAAATGCATCCGAAGTGTAGTAGAATAGTGTACTTTCTGGTTCGTTCCTGGATACTTGGGTGACAACTGGAGTGACATAGAAGAAGTTAGTTTTCTTCTTGGTTTTTATGTATCTTTGGGAAAAACCTCATTCAGGTGAAGGTTGTTGGGAATAAACAGATGGGACATGTATTATCATTCCACTACGGAAAATTTTACAGGTCTCACAGAAACATCAGATGGGCGAAATGCCCGAAATTGAGAAGTAGAAGATGTAAATTTGGACCAAGAATATTTACAGGATTAAGGCAACAGGAGTTGTTATCTCATTTGCTCCCTCACATGGCAGAAGAATGTCAAAATACTTTACTTGAGGAAATATATCTTACTGAAACTTTTATGCTACGATTTACCTTTGCAGTGTGAATTGAATTATAGGAACTTGTCTGCACATTTGTATTATATAATCATATGCAAACCAACAAAAGTTTTCTAAACTAATTATTTACTTTAAAGAGTATTACTCTACTTCAAATTCTGTGTGAACTGTCTGCCACATTTTTGTTTGAGTCCAAGATTGTAGAACAGTAGAAAATATAAGTACGTTATTATTTCATACATAAAAATATTAGGCAGATTAACATCCCTTTAATTCTGAACTTCTCTAATGTTTTTTTTTTCATAAGTTTCCTTGTACCAGTACTTTCCTAAGTTTTCTTTCCTTTTATAAAGTTCTTGCTCTAATGTGCGAATTTAATACTCTTATGCTGGTCAACATGAGTTATGCTTTTGTTAGCATTAGCAAGAGACGAGTTTCATTGATGTGATGACTTCTTTGCGTATGAATTTTTCTCTAGTAAAACTTGAAGCTCTTTTCATCTGATTTGCAATACAGGACTTTGGATATTGTTCTGTACGAAGATTTAGTTTTATGTATATTCAAGGATGGAAAAATAGCAATATAAGCGTGGGCATTAGTTCAATTTTAACTGATAACTTTTGCTATCGATTCTTGCCTACTCAAATTGAATTTATAGATATCTTTGGTTGCATGTTTTGTACATTTTATGTAAATCCTAGTAAAAATCCTTGTCTGTATTGTATAAAAGAACCATATGAGAAAATGTACTGATGCAACACAGAACTTTCCATTTTCGGATGACGAAAGGGAGGTAAATGCAAGTATGTGGTGTTTGTGGATCCATCCTATCTGCCAATTGTGTCCATCAGATTTTTTATGTTGGTAGATGTGATAGCTAAGAAATTTATGATTGACAAAATAGAAACATAGAAATTGGTTGCTCACGATGAAGCCATTTTATGCCGTTAATCAGATAATGGGCAGAAGATGTGCCCTGGATTTGAATTTTTGGTGTTGTAATTTTGTCATTATCTTTATGTGCCCAATATTTATGAATTGGGTCAGGATGGCAGTCAAGGACCTAAAAGTGGCGCAATCCAAGTCCAAGAACCTGGAAGCTAAAGAGCTGCTGAAGAGATCATTCAGTCAGAGCTGCTTATATTCGCTTCTGGCTAATATGTCATGTTCTGTGTTTTTTAGGCTTTGTTCACTTTCTTCCAAGCTCATCAAGAGAGACCATCAAGATCCTGAAGGAAAAACATGACCAAGGGGCAAAGATGGAGTTGGAGGCCAGCCTTGTTTATTATTGAGCGTGACCAAGCTGAACAGGATAGGCACAAGGCTACTGCAGCCAAGACGTAGCTCCGTCTCATCCAAGGACAACCGGCCAAAACGCAAGGATCTTGTTGAGGCGAAAGCCAAGTTCACCAGGTTCAGCTCGGAGCTGGATCATGCTCGGGGATGGAGAGCAGGCAGCAGTTGAGATGAGTAGAAGCAACTCAAAGTAGAGGCACAGAAGAGTGGGAGCACATCCACGCAATCTTGAACTCAAAGTAGAGGCCAAGAAGCGCGGCTACATGATGCATGTAATGCATGGATGCATCATGCATGGATCCATGTTATCGTTGTGTTAGTTTGTAAATCATATTTTGTCGATATTTAGAATATCCTAATAGTCAATAATGTAAATAACTAAATAAAAAAACACCTTATTTTTTGCAAAAATAAAAAACATTTGATCGTGTTATTATCGATGATGTGAAGATTTTAGCGTCTCAAATTTCTTTTATTTCGTTTGTTAATCCCACTGTTTCTTCTTCTATTTGAATGAAATCCTTCTTGATAAAAATAAAAGGACAATTCAATATAATTTTTCTACACGAAGTTCTTTTTGTTCTTTCGCAGATATGTGGTGTGACCTGCAGTGGAGGAAGAAAGGAAAATGCAGGGAGACGAACAGAATGGAAGAAGCGAATGAGTGGCTTCATTGACTAAAGACACTTAAGACACCCACACCAACTTTTTCTTTTTTCTTTTTTCTTTTTTCTTCTTTTCTTGGAAGATATTTGCAGCCCCTTTTTTATTTCCTCACTAACGTAAAGTTAAAAAAAAGAAGAAAAAAGAGTTATCCTATGCTCACATAGAGAGAGAGAGAGAGAGAGATTTGTTTCACAATATAATAATTGATCATGTATTACTCAACTACAAGTAATTAAATGACTGTTAATCAATGAAAACTCACCGACAGTAATGCAAACGTCATCAAATACATGGAGGAGGATTAGTGTCGTAAGCCTGGGATGTCATTCAATCGGTTCAATAATACTAAACACGCACATATGTGCGAATGGGGAATAAATTAGTTGATTGAGCTCTTTCATATCTACTTATAACATTCGCAATGGTTGCTCAACAGTTCAATAGTTCAATTTATTGAACTTTTTGGGCAGCTATTGAACTGAATTGTAGTTTCATTTGCAGTAGTGTAGTTCAAATAGCTTATAAATTAAAAACTAATGTTGTCCATGTGTCAATAAGAGAGAGGTTGTAGAGTTATTATTGTAGGTTAGCTCATTGAAATGAACTATTGATCCCTAAAATGAAATATTGATCTCTAAAATGAACTGAATTTTACCATTGCTAATTAAAAGTTCAATTTATTGAAATAAAATTGAAATGACCTTCACCAATGTTGATGCTCTTATGTGGACAAAGATTCGAAACCCAGAGACCTGAATGTTTGATTCAACCCCCTTCCCCAATCACCTGTACCAAAAAACAACACACATTTATTACACCAACTTTTGATCATGAATACCAGCTGATGTGGAAAATCCATATTGAGGCTATAAAATGAAAACAAAAGAATCCATTGTCACATCAGTTAATGTCCAAAAGTCAGTGTAATAAGTCTCTAATATTAATTATTCTATTGTTATTTTAGTTTGTGAATTATTATTATTATTATTATTTTGGTTTAATTCCTCTATTGTCATATTTTTCTTGTCTAATTAAATAAATTGAGTAGGCAACAAGTTTCACAGACGATTACTTAAAATAGAAGGAGAAGAGAGTTGGCTCGGCTGCTGCTGTCCTTCCTTCCCAAAGAAGATAGGTCAACATTATAAAATGATCTCCAAAAATAGAAACAACTCTCTCAAAGCAACTAAGCATGTAATTATGGTTTTAAAAAAAATGAAACTAGACATGAAAGGTTTCAGGTAAGCATGAAGGGATTTATCTTTTTAAAACTGAGTAAAACTACATCTTTGCAAATGGGTAGATCACAGCCGTTTATTTGATCTAACGGTGGATGCAATTTGCAACAAATGACTCTTCCACTCCATAAACTAGGAAGTGATTTTAGCTACTTCTGTGAGATTTTGTCACAAATTATATACTTAAAAGGCATAATTGAATTTAGCAAAAAGAACAAGGAGAACAAAAGAGAATTCATATCTCATACAAAGACAATTTATTACACCATATCTCAAGAATGTCAATTGCATACATTCAAACATGTTCCATCTTACCATTTTATATGGATTCATAACCTCATAACATAACATTGCCTCATATCTCATACACTACTCAATGCATAGTTGGTAGTTTGTAACCTAATATATCAAATCATTTGGTAAGAAAGCATTACCTCACACACTAATGCAAGTTTATCTTTTGTTGGCAGTATGCGCTTTAGTGCGCACTATCCAGTGTCATAAAACCGAATCCACAAACCAGATTACGTATTCAAATGCCATTAATGGTACACGACAAAATTTCTATATCCAATGTCAGTACATGCAAAGGAAAAAAAGAAAGTTAAAGAGAATAAAACCAGACGCATACGTAACGTTATCTATTCAGATAATCAGTTACTCACTTCACATTGTTCGTTACTGGTATGTTATATTATTTGCTGCTAATCACCTCTTCTCCTTTGTTAATTGGCAACATTGTGTGGTATTTTGGTATGAGTTATGAAGTTAAGCCCAAGTTAACCCTTTACCTAACTCCATGTTTAAGAGGATATGTCCTCCGAGTTAGCCACAGCTTGACTCAGTTAATAACCAAACCCCACGTGAATTGAACGTTGAGCCTTTCCTTATTAAGAAATTCCGCAAACAATATTTAAGAAATCCCTCCGAATGATTATTTTGGAAAAATAAAAAATTTACAATTAAATGCAATCCAAACAACTATTAGTTATCCATACGCGCCATAGAGTGCGTAGGGCCACAATATGCAACAAACACCATGGCTTGCAATTCTGGCTTCTAATCACATCACTACGACCTGTCGTTTAACCCGACCTCCGTACCACCCACATACGTGGCAGAAGATTATTGCCTGGGCCCAGGGCTACGCAGGCCATTATGTAGCAAATTTGGGCCGGTCGATCGCAGTAGGAATCTTTAGTGCCACGTGTCAAATAATCCAAGCTACTCATCCATTACGCGCAGTGGGGCGCGTGGAGGGATTACTTTCGTACCTCTTTAAACGGTCCACAGCCCCCTCTTTCTCTCACTAAAAGAGAAAACACTCAGACTCTCTCTCTCTCTCTCTCTCTCCAAGGAAACAACGACTTTGCTTTCTCATATATATTTTTTCTTTCTTTCTCTCAAGGCCTCTTCGAAATCAGCCTTCGTGGTCATGAAAGCTTAGCTTCTATAAAACCCAGGTACAACTTTCTCTCTCCTCTCTCTCTATTTTCATGTACAAGTGTGTGTATGTGTGTCTTCTTCTCTCTCTCTCTCTAAACAGAGACTCTGTGTCTCTGTGTGTCTCTGCGTGTGTGCGCTTCACGCTTTGTTTATTTTTAATCTATAACTTGCAAATTGGTGCTCAAACTTGAAGACCCATTTTCTCAGGCTTGCTCTTTCACGTGGGTTTCGGCCTCAAATTTCGTTTCTTTGTCCATGGAGGTATAGTAATGAAAACCAAATCTTTTCTTTTTTGGGCTGCTGTTTTTTCTTATTTGTACGATTCAATGCAGTTTTTTCTGTGTTTGTTAAGGGTCATTGTTGAGTAAATAAGTGGAATTTTATGGGATCGTATTGGAATTCTCACTGGGACAGTGATTTTTGTTTGTCTAAGTGTGCTTGCTATGCTTATTGTCATTTATTTTCTATGTTGGTTTTATTTATTTTTGTTCAAGTTTAAAGCTTTGGATTGGATGTTTTGTTGGTTTTGGTTGTGATTATGTTTAGTTTTGTTATTTGTCATAAATGTGCTTAATGGGTTTTGTGATATTTATATGAAAGTTTATGTTTTTCCTAGTGGGGTTGCGTCGGTTTTAGACTGGATTCGAAAATGGATCTGGGGTTGATTATTTGTTTATGAGTTTGCTGCGTCATGCTCTATTTGCTTGTATTTCTTCTGGGTGATGCTTAAAAATACATGTTAGTGGATTTTTATTTCTTTTGAAAATTTACGATCATTTGTTACCAACAAAAAAATTACGATAATTCGTGGTGTATGAATAAACTTTTAAAAAATAAATGCAGGAAAATATTTTTTGTTTTGTTGTTTATTTTCTATCCACGAAATACTGTTGCTTATTTTGAACGTGTGTTCTTCTATTTGGTGGTACATAGCATTATATTTTTGTAACTTTGCATCTAGTCGTCTTGAAATTTTGACATTGGTACTTGTCAGTTTCTTTTGTAGAAAACCCCCATCTCTTTCTATCTGTGAATAGACTAGGATTAGGATTGATTGCTGTCAGTTGCATGAGAACTTCAATGTGTATTGATAGGATTAGAATCAATGCTTTACCTGGCATGTTTTTGACGAGCCTGCAACAGTAATAGTTCAAATGCTTTTGGACTGCTTCGTTTTCGATAGACTGTAAAATAGGGATGACCACCATGTCTAGCTTGTTCTTTTTTATCCTAGAAACAGAAGCCTTTAGATTGGCTACATTGAACAGAATGAAAAATTTGAGTCTGGCAAATTTTCGAAGGTATCAGAAAAGTGTAAAATATTGTCATCGGTTTTTTTATCCTGGGGGATTTTAGTAAGAAAGCTATGTTCTTTTTATTGTATAATGAAAGAGGAGATGTTCCTTCATGGTTTAGCATGCAATGTTTTTCGTATTATTTTCTATATTTTCCAGTTGGCCATCATTTAATATGGTATCAAAATATGATCAGGATAGCAATGTAAAATTTCATATTGACATATAAAATTTATTAATTTTCAAAATTCTTATGAACTTCATGCCTTATATATTGTTTGTTGAAAAGAAAGGAAAAAAATTAATTCTCTTGTTGTCTCAGAAAGCCACTTTAACAATACCATTTCACACCCCCTCTTCCCCTCAATCTCATATGGCAGATGGATTCAGTTGAAGGAAATCACCACGGGGATTTCAATGAGGATGAATTTGCTGAGAATTCATTTTCTCCAGAAGCTTCTGATAGATCTGGTGTACTTGGTGACCCTGAGATACTTCCTAGAGTTGGAGATGAGTACCAGGTTGAAGTTCCCTCTCTAATAGCCGTTTCAGACTATCTCTGGCTTTTAAAGAACCCAACTGTTGCAGAAAGTGCTACTGGCGGTTCCTATGGTTTAATAGCGGGGTTGCCCATACCAGTAATGTGGATCAATGAGGGAGTTGATGGCAAAAAGCATGAACCAGAGACTGCTTTTCATGATGCAGTTTATGTATCCAATAAAAATGAGTCGCTGAAATCTGAACATGTCAGAGAGACCCTGATTGTTTCAGCAAGTGACAACATAAAATGCAAAGTTGAGCCAATGGATGTTAAGTTCGATCATGGGGTAATATCAGGTGAGTCAACAAAGTTTGTTTTGAAGGAAGAAGTGATAACTGAAATGCATCAGAACGATATTGGAAGAGGGTATCCGGTTCCTGGTTCCGCTGGTGACAACTGGAGTGACATAGAAGAAGCCAGCTTTCTTCTTGGTTTATATATCTTTGGAAAGAACCTCATTCTGGTGAAGAAATTTGTTGGGAGTAAAAAGATGGGCGATATATTATCGTTCTACTATGGGAAATTTTACAGGTCTGACAGATACAGGAGATGGTCAGAATGCCAGAAAAGAAGGAGTAGAAAATGTATATTTGGACACAGAATATTTACAGGGTCAAGGCAACAGGAGCTGTTATCTCGTTTGCTTCCTGATGTGTCAGTAGAATGCCAAAATACTTTGCTTGAGGTATGTGGATTGAATTATATCAACCTGTCTGCACATACACATTAATAAGTAAACAAACAAAAGTATGCTAAACTAGTTGTTTTGCTTGTGTTTTCGAACCTTTGAAAATTCATGAATTATATATAAAAGAGTTTTATAAGAAATGTATAATGTAGCAGAGAACTTTGTATTTTCTGATGAAGAAAGAGAAGCAAATGCCTGCGATGCATGTGGATCCATATCTGCCACTTGCGTCCTTCAGATGTTTTCTGATGCGAGACACGATACCTCTAATTACCCAATGTGGAAGTAACATGTGATTCACTAACAGTAACATATAACATTGATTGCTCAAAATGAAATCCTATAATGCAGATAATCAGATATTGGGCAGCTGGGACATGCCCCGGATTTTGCTGCTATGACTGTTTGCTCTTTAGTTGTTCATATCAGGGTATGGTTCCTTCTAATTTTGTTTGACCAATTGCCTAGGTATCGAAGACATTTGGGGAAGGAAAAATTTTACTAGAAGAGTATGTATTCATTTTAAAGGCTAGATTTGGATTGAATGCTCTTGTGGAGGCAGTGGGAATCGGTAAAGGGAAGCGAGATCTCACAGGCATTGCCACAGAGACTTTAAAGTCCAATCAGGCTGTTCCTGTTCGCCCAGAAATACCAATTGGCAAAGCATGCTCCACACTTACACCATTGGAAATAGTCAACTTTCTAACAGGGGACTTCCGGCTAAGCAAAGCCCGATCAAGTGATCTATTTTGGGAAGCTGTCTGGCCTCGCTTGCTTGCAAGAGGGTGGCACTCTGAGCAGCCTAGCCATGGTTTTTCCACTGGTTCCAAGCATTCATTGGTCTTTCTAATCCCTGGGATTAAGAAGTTCTCAAGAAGGAAACTGGTGAAGGGAAGCCACTATTTTGATTCTGTAACCGACGTCCTGAGTAAAGTTGCTTCAGACCCCGAGCTTCTTGAGCTTGATATGGGAGCAAATAAAAGTTCCGGAAGCAAGGATGAAAATGGGTGGACAGATGAAACAAAGCTGGATGAAGAAGATTTCCCTAATCAGCAACGCCACTGTTATCTGAAGCCTCGTACTCCAAAACGTAATGGAGATGTTGTGAAGTTTACGGTTGTGGATACAAGTCTGTCTAATGGGAAGACATCTAAGGTGAGGGAACTGCGAAGCTTACCATTTGAATTGAACACTCCCACCTCCAGTAGTGATTCTGAAGATGATGATGGGGATGCTTCTGAGTCAACAGATAAATCCATTTCTGCTGATAACTTGTGTTCGCATAGGGATGAAGTCAATGTTCCCAAGGCCATAAAGATCCGCTTGGGTAGAAAAGATGACAAATATTTTGAATATGATACTTCAAAGTGGGAGCATCAAGTTTTTGTCCAAGGTGCAAATATTCCCGAGGATGATAACGTAGGTTTGTGCAATGACATGCAACCTAGAAAAGCCATGAAGTGCCAAAAGAGCCGGAAAATGGTGTCTCAAAATAAAAATCATGTTGCCCCCGTTTCAAAACGACGTCGATTAGCTGCTTGTAGTCGAGCAGAGACCACACGCAGCATGGACCACGTCTTGCAAGGTCGCTTATTACAACAAGATGCATGCAGCTCTGGAGGCCATCTTGAACTTAGTGAGAAAACTCCCTCTCAAATGGACCCATCTGAAGAGAAGTTATCATCCACCAGTACTTCATCTAGAGGTGGCAGCCCAGTCTTTAGTTGTGAAGGCATTCCTGGCCGCAACAATTTGCATGTGGAACAACCTCATGAGATTCCTCAGCCCCGTACACTGATTGACTTGAACATCCCCATTTCTCTAGATGCTGAAACTGATGAACCTTTCACAATGATAGAAAGACAAGATGATCAAACAAGCCAGGAACTGGATGAACCCCATTCAGTGATATCCTCCGAATGTAGGGGTACTTCTGAACAGCAGCCTACAATTAACTCTCGGAGACAGAGCACAAGAAATCGACCACTGACCACTAAGGTACTGGAAGCTTTTGCTTGTGGATTTTTAGACACAAAGCAGAAGCGGAAGAGTACCGATGCATTTCCTGGGGACAGCTCCAAGCCATCTCGTCGTGCTCGTACTAGGAAGAGGGTTCCTGACAGTTTTGATGCTAGTCTCGCAGATTTCAATATGCAGGAAACCACAGCCGCTATCCATAATAGTACTGCAGATGGGTTCAGCAAGGTTGACGTGGTTTCATAAGTTGCTGAAAATCCAACTTACAAGTTGAGCATGGAGCTTCTGGATACAACAGAGACTGCTGGTTTTGGCTGCTATCATAACCGTTATGATATATAGCAAAGCTAACAATCGCTTCTTCCTCCTGCACTGTATATGGTGTTACATACAAATTTCACATAGGGGAGTCGGATTAGTAGTGTCTTTGCAAGAGACATTACATCAGAAAAAGCAGCACCAAGAATCGGAAAGCCAAGATGAGAGTTAAAAGTTACCTTCCCCTCAACTCTTAGTTCAACAGCATTTGATAAATCATTACTGTATCTCATGTACAATTTGCTTTAAAGTGGTTGTCTTCTTTTTTTTTTTTTTGGTTGCAATACCAACCCATAATGTCAACGAAAGTCAGGTGACTGCTGCATTGCTTGCATTCTGATCAAATGTCTGCACACATGCTTGTCAGTTGATAATAGTAGTGTAGCAACCATTGTGGTTGAATTTAGATCGATGACAACAGTTTCGTATCGTTTTACATGTGAAATTATCCATAATGAGTAGAGATTTGTGTTATGCAGAAGATAAATGGAGCGTTTAAGTTTCCCTATTACAGTTCAGTGCCTTGCAAATTACAGTATAAGAAAGAATGCATGGAGTTTATGAATGTCCTTGTCCCGTAATTTGTAGAAAAATGCTAGTAGAAACGAACTCGGCTACTGGCGTTCTCATGTGAAAGCCCCATTTACAGTTTCACTGATTACACAATTTCATTGAAAATTCATTCTACCCATATTTTGTGATGCAAAATGAAGTTATTTTTTATTCTTCCTTAAAACATATCTTCAAATTGATAGAAGAGTTGGTCCATTTAATCACTCATGTTACATGGTGAACTGTATATGCAATTCTATTAATTTTGTTTTATTTTTAAGATCAAGCTTGTTTTGTGTGAAACCAACTATTCTGCAGATTGTTATGTACAGGATTGGTCCATTTAGCTATCTAGCAGTTTAATTTTGGTTTTCTTTTTTGACATTATAACAAAAAAGTGAAAAATTGACAGGGGGAGGGACCAAATAGCAAATGGACATACCTAAGAAATCAATTTTCTAGTCTGTTTTGTTATAATCCTTCAAAGAGGCAATGGTTTCCAAGTTGCAAAAAACTGGGGTTCTCATGTCAAACCCATGATCTTCAAGCTTAGTTTCGATTCGTAAAAACTATATTTCAATATCCAAAACTATAGGTGTTCCGATAATTGTAGTTTTTAACAATAGCTTTTAACTAGTATAAAAATGTGAATGATTGATAAACCGAATTTGATTTTTAAACCTAATCAAAATATTCTCAAACTTTCAACATTTGAAGCACAACGCTTTATCATATGAACACGAAAATCAAAACTCCAACTTTATTTATTTATTTATTTAATACAAGCGATAGTCTAAACTTTATTTAAACAAGAAAAAATAAAACAACTCAAAACTGAGTTTTTCAAATGAGAAGATGTGCTCAATAAAAATAAGGGAGATTCACTATTATACCAAATATTGGAGCCCAAATTATTAAAAAAACTATATATGAAATGGACTTTAGAAACAAACCCAAAACCTATTTATAACATAACAAAAAGATTTTTAACTTCTTTTAAATTACAAAACTGCCATTGATTTTTTAAAACAAACCCAACCCCAAAACTTCATTAAAAAAAACCTAAAACACTCAATAGAGCATCAAAGTAATTTAATAATCAAAATTAAATTCAATAGGGCCAGCAGTTATTTGTTGGATTTTTTTGAGTTTTTTTTAATAGAAATTGAATGGTATATGATTTATCTATATTATTAGTACTAAGAATGAATATATGACTAAATATCTCTAAAAGTAATAATAATAATAATAATAAGATGTGCACATGAATAAATATATAGATGGAAAAATTTCGAGAAAGGTGAAAAGGGAGCGAAAATGCAAAAAATAAAAGAAATGGGGGGCATGCCATGGTAATTTTTGGTATCTTGTGTAGGACAATAGGCCAAGTAGCAGAAGCGAGACGTGTGTCCATAAGGAGACCACCACGCGCCACTCCAGTGTGTACTACTTACAGCTCCATCTTCATTGCTCTTCATCTTCATCTTCTGCTCTCCTACCTCCTTTTCCAATTTTCCAAACCCTATATTCTAATTTCTATTCATTAAAAAACTAAAGAGGGTTTTTCTATTTAATCAAGATTTTTAGGAGAAATTAGAAAATACAAAGGAGAAATCGGCAATGGGTCAGGCACTTCGCCGAGCTGCTGGAAGAATCCGACCCTCTTCCAGCATTGAACCGACGTCGGCGAAGCCAAAGACCGTCGTCGTCGATAAGCGGCCTCCTCCTCTGGGCCCCACCGAATCGGCGGAGATCTCCAAGGCCGGCGACGCTCTTAATTCTGGTATATAAAGTTGTCGCCTTTAATTTGTCCCTTCCCTCTTTACACGCATTCTTTCTCAGCTCAATTTCATTACATTTACGGCGTCGTTTTCGTTGATTTTTGTCTGAAGATGGTAGTGCAGCAACAGCAGCAGACGCAGAAGCAGGAGCAGCCAACGTTGAGAATGTACTTGAAGAACGAGATCCAAGCTACGACGCCATGCTTAATCAAATGGTGGGTAGAATTAAATCAAAGCCCGGAGGAAAACTGGAGATGGGTGAGGTCAGTTTCTCTCTCATGTTCTTTAATTTCTCGTTTTAAGTTCAAACTAAGTAGCTCCAATTTGGTCTTTGAATTTGAGTTTAGTTATTTGATTGTTGTATTTTACATGTTTTGGTTATGTAATTGATGTAATTGTGGTGCAGGCATTTGTGGTGGAAAAGTATAAGAGGCCTCTACCGAAGCTGAGAGATACAAAGCCAGATTCAGGCAGGTACGAGGAGAGTCCGGCTGCTCCGGGAACTCTGAATGTGGCCCAGCTGCGCCACATCATCCTCCTCCATCAGGGCAAGGCTGAGGATCACAATGGCCCCATGGAGGCGGACCAAATCGCCGACAAGTTCCGGGTTGATGTCGCAGAGGTTCGGAGGATCTTGCAGTTTGTATCACTGCCCCCAGAGGACAGCAGCAAACAGAAGAACAATCCTTGAAGAAGACATGGGTAGATAACTTTGGTGTCTACCATTCTCCTTTGCAACACTCGCACTACCGGTTGGGTTTTCTGTTGAATAAAACTGGCTCGCATACAAATTTGAAAAATATCAGAGAATCTGTCCTTTGGCAGCATCTGTAACATGTAGGAAATTTTGTACCTAGCGTTTGGGTTCTGAGAAAGGCAATCACCGAACTTATAACTTTTGTTGAGGTATTTGATTTGAACACAAATTGAGAATCTGTTTCATATGTTATGGGAAAGTTTTATTTTGTTTTATAAGTTCATTTTGAGGCAGTGAGTGACCAGCTAATTTCCACGAGTAAAAGAAAAAGAAAAAGAAACAATTCAATCATGACTCAAAATGCTGATACAAAAATCTTGGTGCTCCAAATCTCAACTTTCATCTTCAAACATTTTGCAGTCTAATTACAATCTTATGGCCTGTAGTCGTGACAAAAATAATGTGCCCACTTCCTTTCCTTTGAGGAGGGCTTTGCAAGGTCTTGAAGGGCAAAAGAATCGCATAATCCAAAAATAATATCTGAAACTAAAAGTGAACGGTTCGATCAAGTCAATGCAGACTCTAACCAGTCTGATGTATATTCATAAGCCACAAATGTTACGGCGCCAGCAGGAGCGGCCTTGACCGTCGATGGAACTATTCCCTTATAAAGACCAGCCCAGCCCTCCCTCTGCAATATTCTTCGCAAGGCATCAAACATGTTTCGGTAAGCACGATGCTCTACTCGAGCCCCATATCTTGGGTGCCTCTGTAGTCCTTCAATCTGCAGGGATAGAACAACAAGATTCATATAACCAACCTCATTGCATTAACACGAAAGCATTTTGATCTACATATCCCTTCCGATGTTTTCTTCGGGGATGATTGCTAAACAGCATGAAAATCCAGATTAACTGAAAGTTCTAGAGTAGAGACGGAGCTCAGGACGTCTAAATATCTACCTGGAATCTTTTCTTGACCACATCAAGTGGATGACAGACAAGTTTGGCACATGTCCCAGCTGCTAGACCACAGAGGAAAAGCTGAAAGCTTGAGAGACCATCTTCTCTACTGTGTAAGTTTGTATTGGAGGATCTATACTGGTTCCATGCCTACAATGAACATAACAAAATACGTGAAATCTTACTATGACTGGCTACTGTTGTCAAATAGGTTGTGCATTAAGCAGAAAGAAACATGCTGCAAAATATGTTCCTTAATCTAAGAACCCTCCTCACAACACAAATACATATTGGAAGCGATGGGCAATTTTATTCCAATTACTGACACTATTTGAATTCAAGTATTAAAACTGTCATGTTTTACAACTAGCTATTGAACTTCATGTCATGGTGAGTTTGAAAGCACGTGCACACAGCATATACATACAAAGCTGATTTCAACCAAAACATTTACAAATCTGATTTCCTAGTCTAAAAGATATAGTCCCATCCCATCAAGGCATGGGGACATAAAGTAATCTACTTCATACCCACAAAAAGGAAAATGATAAAGCAGAACCTGAACCTTACCATGGTCCAGCGCTTAAATGTGTCATATGTACCAAATTGCAAGCCTGCATAAGGAATAATCTCAACCAGTGTTGGCGACAATCCAGCATACAATCCTCGAAATCCACGAGTTTTAACTATTTCCACCAATGCAGTCCTCATAGTTGGATACACCTAAATCAAGGTAAATATCAGTACGGTCCTATTATGCCAAAGAACTCTTCACATTGGTGTTTTTGCAGAAACCAATTTTAAAGATGGCTTGAGTTAGGGTACTAATATTTATTGGTAATATAGCTTTAATTACTTCACATACATGAAACCCCAAAGAAACCTCAAAGTGAAAAACAAAAATGGCCAGCTAAAGGCTGTGTAGTCTAAAAGCTGTATGCAAACCAAATCCTCTGAAAGACATCATAGGCCTGCAAAAAAGAGGCCCACCAGGCCTCCCTAAATCCCAAAAGTGTGTAGAATGTCTCGGTCAACCAATTCTTTTTGCAATTAATATACAGTCATGCACCAGGGTCTCAACCCAAGCTTGGTCAAACCAACCAAACTTGCCCACAGCAAACTCTCAAGACCACCATGCCAAGAACTAAGTCCAATCCATAAATAAGCTACAACATCAAGTTTGAAACTTTTGGCCATTAATATATGAAAAGCAGTAGAATTGCCCATGGTAGACAAGAAAGCAATTTAGAACATTTGATATTAAGCACTTTTCAAAGCTTCTGATTGCATAAAGGACAGCTCATTTACTGTAAGATGCAGAACTTTGTAAGAAATTAAAAAGAATAACATGGA